GACTGTATTTTGAATTATTGATAAATGAAGTCATTTACAATACAGCTCATGAAACTGACGGAATGATAGACATAGAAAGGAATTATCCTATACTGATCTCCAATAATAGTTCTTTAACTATCAAAAATGCTATGACAGAATTCAATTGCAACTTTTAGTTTCAATACAATTCCAACAAAGAGTGGTTCAGAGCCGTCGGCACTTTCCGAAATTGGCAAATTTGGACTCTAGCCAAAGCAGGGGGCTGAATTTACGCGATTCACATCGGAAATAGGGATAACTACTGAAACTTTATTATTGTCTCGTTCCCATTTGGACTATTGGAAGTCAAGCCAGATTAAATAACAATTTGAATCTTTTATCATTCACTGCTATTGCAGTAAACAACGTGAACACATTTACGTACAAAAAGTTCGAACTTAAAAATATTTTTATGTCAAAAAGTCATCACAATCAACCCATGTTATATGTGCCACTGCTCGGCACAGGTCTCTCAGGCAACGAGGGTTTAAGCCTTAGTCCGCCACGCTGGCCTGTACGCATGTTTCGTGAAACAATTTTATTCATATTAATATGCTTCCAGTTTCATTCGGCGTAGTTATTGACTGAAACTGAATGCAATTATATGCAGTGGCCGTAGTTAGTATGCAACGGTGAAACTTTGATTGGGCGTAACACGTACACCAACTGGGGATTATTATGGAATAGATTATTCAATTTAAACAACTGCAAAATAGTATTGGCTCCAAATAGATATTCTTATATGGGATACGATTTTTTTGGATGTTTGATGCCGTTGAAGACGACGCGACGCACCATGGATCAAACAGATTTGAAGAGAGCTAATTTTTTTTGTTACGAAATGGTTGTATTTTTGCCGTTTCTATTTCACGTAATAAGAATAATAATAAATCTTGATTGAGTCAAGACCATTGCATGGTATCTTAAAGTTACGTGACATTATTATACGAAGAACATTGTAAGGTATATATATATATATATATATATATTGTATATATTATGACGACTTCCGTGTTCCGGTGGCTTGCACACCGGATTTCATGGTGTCGCCATCTCTGAGGTCCCGGGTTCGATCTCCGGTCGCGTCAGTGTAGAATCTAACTTTTCTAGTCGTATATTGTGTCTGGTGTGGGTGTTTGTGTACCGTCGTTGTTTCCGAATTCCATAACACAAGTGCTTTAACTAATTTCTTTGGGATCAGAGCAACGTATGTGATGTTGTCTAATATTTATTTGTATTTATTATTATTTATTAGATAAGGTTGAACATTAGTGCCCGTATTACTTTTGAATAAAACCGTATGACAGACGTCGTCGTCGACTATATCTTCAACTGGATATTTAATTTGCAAATATTATAATGCCATAACAATATATGTACATGTAAAAGTAAAAGTATGACAGAGAAATAACAACAACAACTTTTAAACTTTGTGTGTAAATGCTTATGTGTATGTGTGTGTGTGTGTGTTGAATTCTTGAATGATCGCTATAACTTGGACATTTTTAAAGCGAGAGTGACTAGGCATTACTTAGGTGTGCATGCTACATAACAAACCTTGTCGTCCATCTTTTTCCATGAGATAAGATGGAGGTCGAATGTGCACTTAATTTTTATAAAAAAAATGAGCCCTACGATAAAAATCTTGAATTGCATCCTCGAACAAGTTTATAAAAAAATACGTGTAGAGATCTCATAGCTCGATGTAAATTGTACTATTTCTTCGCGTTTCATATCATAATATTCATAGAAAACAATATTGTACCGAAATATTGATTCAACAAAGGCAAAACTTCGATATGCAATACGAAATGCGCTGAAAGATGTTCACGCAAAATGACTTTCTCCCGATATTGACTGACGTGTTGTACAGAAAGCCTCAAAATAATCCGCATATCACATCCTTATGTACACATAAGGCCACATTTGCTAAGTGACAACTTTTAAAAGATTCTACTACGAGAGTTATAAAATTAATCATATTAACTTGTTTAATTTATTTGCTCTGCATTATACATTTATTTGGCCACATTGCACTCAGGAGCCCTGACAAATTTTTAATTTTTATTTATAATAGCAAGTCGTCGAACACGTCAAGTAACGAACAAGTTGTTCGCCTGATTGTAAGCTACACGCCTGTCCATAACAGTTGCAGTGCCACTTAGAGCTTTAAATCGCAAAGATCAGAGGGGCACTGTCACTGCGCCCGTCACCCTGAGACATAAGTTGACAAGTTCCACGTCACTGTAATTTCACCAGCACCCAGATCGTTCTGAGCCTGGTCGCAGTAATGCTAACATTACTCTTTGGCGGCAGAAATAGGTAAGGTGGCGGTACTTACCTGGGCGCACTCTTTCACAAGAAGCTCTACTGCTGCCCTACTGCATACTTAAAGGCTAATTGTTACGGACAAATAGAGGGCAAACAACCTAGAGAACGAATTTCGAAACGATGGTGTGACCTGATAGATGAAAATCTAACAGTATCGGTGAGTGTCACTCTCCACCTTACCGAAGACAGTGCAGTGCAGAAATTGATTGACAGTGTACTTGCTCTAAACAGT